TGGTAAACTCAAGATACAGGGCGGCCCTGTCTCACCAAAGCACGACGATCAATGAATGCATAAGTCATGGAAATCAAACGTACGCCATATTGAGAATGCTCCGGCTACCGTCAAGGATGCAATGATTGTTGAGAACATGTCGGTGGCCCCACGACATCGATCGACCGTGCTCTCCAATGACAGCGCCATGCAACTCCAGAAACCGGTCCGGGCTGCCATCTTGAAACCTTCGCGAATCCCCCCTTGCATCGCGTGATAGTTCTTGGTTTTATGATAGAGATACCATCCGGCTGTGGAGTCGGGCATTTTGTGAGCATGTTCGGCACGAAATCGCAGCTGCGCAGTGTTGCCCCCTTGGGTGGCGCCCAGGGAAAAGCCGATGAGGGCCGAGACAACAGAACCTGCTGTAATGCGGGTAGGCGACACGAGAGAGAGACGGGGATGCGAATCGTGGGGGAACTGGGCCGGCGGTAGTGAGGACGAAGAGGAGGAGCTCGAGGGCGCTGCCACGTATGGCCGGCTCGCACCGGCTGGATTCAGGAGATTGGCATTGGCCGGGTCCATTGCGAAAATGGAGTTGGTTGTGAGGGTGCGCAAGCGCCTTTGCTGTGGTGCAGATTTTCTGGTTGGGATTCGGGATTTACATCCCACCACATGATGCGACTGAAGTTGGCCCATCTTCAATTTACACGACTGCACGTGACCTCGCGCGGCTCCTCCACCTTCAAACTTGCTCCTCGTCGCGTGTCTACCCCACCAAGAGCTAAATTCCCTGCGGCCTACCACCAGACCAGACGAAATACCACCCGTCGCATCCCCCCTCAGCTCCACAGTGTTCATTCAGACAGAGAAAAAGATATACGAGGCAACGTGAGTCTAGCCCAGCCGAAGGGCTCTACTTCCCTCACCACATCCATTCTTCGGTTGCTGACCCCGCGCAGATGGAGATCACCGATGGGCACATTTCTGTTCGGTTCAAGCATGGAGTCCACACCATCTACCTGTTCGTGGATACCCTTGAGCCCATTCAAAACGTCGGCGAAGAGCTTCGATCCCTGTTGCGTGAACGATACCCCGACGGCCTCACAACGTCCATCGAGCAAGCCAAGACGACGCCGGTGCCGAGCGAGGACGAGGATTTCACTATGGCGTACGCTGTCCTTGCGGTCCCCAACGATCCAACTAGAGGCTGGAAAAGACTGAAGTTCGGCGACGAGTCCACGCCAGCTGGCAAGGCGGGCCTGAAAGATAATGGTATCGTCGCCTTCACCTTTCTTCAGTCCGAAGATGATGAGGCAGTGTTCGATGTAGAGTGGCCAGGCGAGGAGGAGGAAATTTACGAATGAGCCCCGCGCAACCATAATCAGATTCTATCACGATATTTGCGGTACGAGCCAGAGTACGCTCGCCTAGTTCTTCACACTCGTCACGGGTCTCCCTCGTATTCCAAGTCCAACGAAATAACTCAAGAGCTCGCGCCATTTTGCCCTGGGCGTGATCAAGGCACATACCTCAGTATGCGTTGGCTTGACAGGTTCAGATCATACAACTAAAACAGAGATACTGTGTGAATGGCGATGACTCTGTATGGGAATACGGCTGGCTTTTCACCTTGGATGAGTTTCTTTAGATGTGGCGCCATGTTCAACCCCCACGATGATACGTAATAGACGGGTCAAACAAATAATGAATAATAGACAAATTTACGATATTCTCTTTTCGCCTCACTAAGGATTTTTCGGTAGAAGTTTTCGTCTTCTGCAATGAGCAAATCCATAGTAGTGGTTTGGGTAGAATGCAGTTAGGACAGTGCGGTTTGCGTGTGTGATGCGAGTAGCTCAATGCGGCAGCCATTAGACCAGCCAGTCCGAACTCATTCCAAGGCCCCATTATATAAACAAACAGCCGGGTTTTCTGGAACCACCACACCCTGAAAATATGCTTTTTTGGGCCACCAAACCATCAACGTGGGTGCAGGTTGTTTGATGACTAAGCATCCCCATCGCGAATGGAAATATTAGCACTTTGGGACGAAGATGCGACCTCCTGAACAGCGAAAGATGACAGTTGGCACGCACCAGCCGTTCTGCATATTTTAGACACACTCGTCGGGACAATCAGACTTGCTCGCGACTACTGCTACCCGACCACTTATGCGGTGAGCAAGCAGCCTGATTTTCCTGTCTCCTCGATGGCCGTCACAGGCGCGCTGCGAAAAAGCCTTGGCTTCTTCGTGCCCTTGGCCGTAGCATGCACCGTCTATCTTTACCTCTTCCCCTTTTTCTCAGGGTGTGCCTTTCCTCTGCCCTCAAGGGACTCCGATGAGGCCTTTGAACAGACCAAAAGCCTGCATTGGCCGTACGCGCAACCAGACCAGCAGGCCAACGCCACGAGAAAATTGGCACCGTTCCGACTGCTCACAATCGGAGACCCTCAACTCGAAGGCGACACCTCGATCCCGGTGAAGGTTTACGGATTCTTCCCACATGTCAAGGAAATATACAAGCGTGTCACGTTCCAGACATGGCATTCGACGCTACGAGACCGTTTACGGATGATCCTCCACGATCTCGTCGATCTATACTTCGAAGATATCCCGAACCTGCTCGAGTCAGGGCGAAAAGTGTTTGACCTCTTCGGCAACGACTTCTACCTTGCGCATATCTACCGCACCGTCCACTGGTGGACCAAGCCAACTCATGTCACCGTTCTTGGCGACTTGCTTGGCAGCCAGTGGATCGACGACAAGGAGTTCGAGCAACGAGGCGACCGGTTCTGGAACAGGGCCTTCAAGGGCGGCCAGCGACTGCCCGACGAGATAGCCCAGTGGCCCAACCGCGAGTACAACATCTCTGGCCGTCTCGATGGGTCGCCGGAGCAGGACGTCTGGATCAACAGGATTCTCAACGTCGCCGGCAACCATGACATTGGGTACGCCGGCGACTTGACCGAGGAGCGCATGGAGCGGTTCGAGAGGGTGTTTGGGAAGGCCAACTACGAGCTGCGATTTGAGCTGCCGATCACCGACCCAAAATACACCTCCACCGTCTACGATTCGGAAAAGAACCCCGATGCGCTGCGTATCGCCCCAGAGATCCGGATTATTGTCATCAACGACATGAACCTGGACACCCCGGCCAAGAGCAAGCCACTCCAGGATCAAACCTACGAGTTCATCAACGCTGTGATTACAAGCTCGCACGCGGTGGAATTCGAGGGTCATTTCACCCTGGTGTTGACGCACATCCCCATGTACAAACCTGCTGGCGTTTGTGTGGACGCGCCCTTCTTCGATTTCCACTCCGACGGTGACGGCATCAAGGAGCAGTACCTCCTCAGCGAGGACGCCAGCAAAGGGTTCTGGGAGGGCATCTTTGGCGTCAGCGGCAACCCCATGGCCGCTGGAAAGGGTCGCGGCCGACCTGGGCTGATCCTCAACGGTCACGATCACGAGGGCTGCGACACGTACCATTACATCAACCAGACCAACGGCACAAGCGCCAAGGATCGATCATGGGAGATCAAGCGCTGGCCCGAGGCCAAGAAGCTCAACATTGTCGGCCAGGAGGGTATCCCCGGACGCCGAGAACTCACCGTCCGCAGTATGATGGGTGACTTTGGCGGCAACACTGGCCTGCTCAGCATGTGGTTCAACCCCGAAACCTGGGAGTGGGAATACGAATTCGCCCAGTGCCCACTTGGCAGGCAGTACTTCTGGTGGTTCGTGCACATCCTGGACTTTGGCGTCGTTTTCCTCATCCTGGTCTACGGCTTCGTCTCCATCCTCCAGGCTGCCGGCGTTGATGTGGACGGCAACCTCAGCTCCTTCTTGCGGTGGCTGAGCAGCGTCGTCAGTGAATTGGCGTACGGTGAGCCATCCTCTACCGTCCCGAACGGGAAGTTGAAGGGCAAATTATGAGGTGAAGAGACGGGACTAGAATTGTATAACTGTGATTATTACCCCAATTGCATAATAGCATAATGCCTCAGCGATCTACACTTAATTTTGAATTATTTTCTATTTGGACAGACATACATATTCCACATACAATATAGAAACATTGTTATCAGTTCAATTGATTGTTCGGAATGTTTGGTTGTGGGCAATTCGTGACCGTTACCCTATATCACCATCCAAGACCAGACCGGAAAACCCTGTTATATCTGGACAATTGAATTAACGTTGTAATCATTGGACTTTACCTGGATCGCGCATCATATTTCTAAAGTATTCTAGTTTACTCTATGGAATCTATTTTAGCTTTGTTGGGGTACACGAGAGTCAACAACGCGTCCATGGCCAAAACATCAAGCGAGACATGAATCTGCCGTCGTATGATTTGTACGTTTTAATCCGCGTAAATATTCGCTAGCAAAGAGTGACTTGCTGTGGAGAGGGATTGCTGCGGCTTGTTTGTCTGAGCAGATGACGACGGCACGGGAAGAACTGAAACAATCCCCATAACATTATGTCATGAGCCAACCAGGAAACCTCGAGATATTGTCTTAGGTGCGAGAGAGCTTCCCTGATTTTCATCGACGGATGCCCGTTTGCCCATGAACAAACCTGACGATGATGCTGGTTCTGCTTGGTGCTTGCTCGCCACTTGAGGCGTCTGGGACGGGCTGAACACTTGGTTGGGTGAAAGCAGCGAGCGCAGCTCTCTGTGCTTGTGGCATGGTGCAGAGAGCTGAGGCAGTCATCAGGGAAGCGAATCTCCTTCTCTGAAGGGATCTTGGATTGGATTGGTTGACAGCCCAGTTCAACACTTCAACTCAACCGACAGTACGACGTGATGTGAGATGATGTACGCGTCGTCCATGGGATTCGGAAGCATTGCCAAGTTGAATACTATAAGACCATTGCCGCCCCCTTCTTGAAGCTGCCGTTCTCAGCAATCAATAATGGCCATCCCTCGCTCCAGCTCATATAATTCTTTTCGCCCTGGCTAGGCAGACAAACAAACCCATACTCTCCAACAACTTCACATCTGGCCACAATGAAGTTCATCCAGGCGTTGATCTTGGGCTTCTTGCCCCAAAGTCTTGCCTTCGCTTACGGCGGAGGACTGCCTGGGTTGGGGAAGAGGCGTGCTCGAGTGCAGACCCGGCCGTGCGTGCAGGGCTGCGGGTGTATTTCTGACTTTGACACCGTGGACAAGTAAGTCTGAAGAAACAAGAGTCGAAGAATGATAAGACTGACAGTTATAAACTCGCCCAGATTCATAGACTGCATCAACGGAGTCCAAAGAGACATGGACATGCGGCTGGCCCGAGACAGCTCAGTGTCCATCAGCACTCCGCAACCCACGCCGACTTCCACCAAGACGAATAATTGCAACGACAAAGGAGGTCCCTGTGACTGCGATTACATCCAGGATAAAAACAGTGACGAGTAAGAGAGCCCTCGAAGCATCTGGCCTGCAAAGGGATACTGGCTAACAAGCTCATCAGATACAGGCAATGCCTCAGCAATCCCGACTGCGAGCGCTGCTATTTCACGGCGACTTGGACACCGACAACTACACCGACCACCTCTCGGAGCTCGTCGACCTCACTAATCTCAATTACTATATCAATGCCCCTTCCTTCGACGCAAATACAATCCTCTTCATCGTCATCGTCAACGACTTCGTCCTCTACAGCCCAGACAACCACTGGCGCTCCTCGACTACCCGATAACTGTTATATCGGCGGGCCCTGCGACTGCAGCTTGATCGAGGACAAGAAAAGCCCAGAGTAGGTTCCCCCTCTCGTTCTTAGCCCTAGAATGGACGGAAAAACTGATCCGTTGGCAGCTACATACGCTGTATCTCGAACCCGGCCTGCGAGCACTGCTTCCTCAACAACGGTACCTTGACCACACGGCCGAGCACGCTCATCACTCAACCAACAACCCTGGACCTCACCTCCACTTCTTCAACGGTGCAAGCAACGGGTGGGTGGCGGTGGTAATTGTTTTCGTAGTAGCTTGGATATCGCTTCCGACGCGTGGATTTGGGAGGACGAGACATCTGGGAAGGTCTGACATAGGTAATATAGAAGCACAGCCAGACCTAGCACAGGTGACCAGAGATTTCACCACACACAATCATTCGGGATGACACCTGCCAGTCATCCGTCTGTTGGAAAAAAATTCCTGATTTTTGCTTTTTTTCGGTCATCTCGCCTAGAACAACTTTTCGTGCCTTCCCGCCGTGACATCGTACAAGAGTGAGTGATAATATACAATGATTTTTGCGGACAAGCATCCAAAAGCCCAAGTCGTACACATCCGCCTCTTCTCCCCCGCCGCCCTCTTCATGATGCTTGTCGAGTTCTATGTGCCGAGTTTCCCTGTTACCGACATTAAATAATAAAAAAAACGAACGAGATGGTAAAGACATGTGCCCTCTATGTATCAGAATTTTCAACATGCGCCGCCCCCCGTTCCTGACTCTCGTCGTTTGGTTTTCCCACATTATACAAGTAGTTGTGAAATAGTCGGTAGAAGTGGAGAGATTCGTGTCTCGACCGGGGGAGGACTCCCCGTCAAGATGTATTTCGTTTGCCAGCCGGATTTACTCCTTCTTCGGTTGTTCCTCAGGCTTCTTGCCCATGAACATGCCGCCGAAGGACCCGAACATGCTATCCATCATCTCCTTCTGTGCCTTCTCCATGGCTTCCTTCTCCTCCTTCAGCCACTGCTCGCCGTTCTCCCGGATCTGCTTCTCGAGCTCCTCGTAGTTGCGCTGTCCCCGCTCACGCGCAATGTCCTGGAGCATCTTGCCCTGGGCGAACGCCTGGCTGGGGTTGATCTCGCCCTCGGGGCTCATCGAGAGGTGCTTGGCGTCGAGTCCAAGTAGGCCGCCCAGAGCTCCAAAGCCAGAGGGGACATGCTTCTTGTGTTTTTGGACGGCTTGTTGGGCCTCGAACTCTCTGCGGGCAATGGCCTCGCGACGGGCGAACTCGGTGGGGATGTGCTTGCCGTCAAAGGACTTGAGAATTTTGCGGACGTCGGTGTATTGCATGGTGTGGATATACTCGAGGAAGGGGATGAGGCCGACTAGATCGGTGTCGCTGGGGTCTCCCTTCCATGGCTTGAGGACAATGGCGTTCTCGGGCTGCTTACGGACGTACTTGGAGTCGGTATCAATGATGATGACTTTGGATAAGTCACGATTGAGGTAAGAGAGATCCTAATTTCGGTTAGAAATCGCCAATTGATGCGACTAGGGACGAATGTGTAATTTGACTCACCTTGACGATTTCACCATTCTCAAATTTGGTGGCTTCACGCCACAGAGGCCACATGATAAATCGGAATGGGTCAAGCTTTCGGAGAACAGGCTCGCCCAGGCCGAAGGGAGTGGTGGTGAAGAGAACCAATTCATAGTACTGGCTCAGGTAGCGGATAAAGTAGTCGAACCCAGGTCGCTTGGCAATGCGCCAACCGTGCTGTCGAGTCCATTCAGAATGGATGAGCAGATCGTCGAGACTCAGAACCAATGTGTATGGGCGCTCGAAGCTTGGGTCGGGATCGGGGAGAAGCTTGTCGAATTCGGGGTCTTGGTAATATGACATAGACTCGGAGAGACGAGCCCTGGCGCGTTGCCACCAGAGAGTAGGAGAGATGCCATTGGGAATGTCGGGGTGGCGGTTGGCTTGGATTTCGTCTTCCCAGTCGCGGCCTTGATAGAGCGCACTGGCGACGGAGCCACCTCCGGCTGTGAAGAGTAGGAATCGGGTCCACCATCGTCGGTTACGGTCGCTGGTAGATACGTAGGAGTCGCGCTGGCCACCGCCTCGCCTCTCATACTGTTCTTGGTCGACAGCCTGCAGGGCCGAGGTGACGGTATCCTGGGTGGAACCTCGCTTCTCATGTTCAAACGTCGAGGGAATACCCTGGGTCAAGTCGGGCAGCTTGTGGAATGGAATTGGCTCTTCTTCGGCAGGAGTCTCGGGGGCTTTGTTCGACTCGGAGGATGTTGTTTGTGAAGGTTCGGATTGGGAGGGCGTCGATTTGGAGTCGGCGGACTGGTCTGGTTTGCCACTTTGGTCGAGTGGGCTGTTATTTTTGTTCTGAGAGTAGGCTCGCAGCATTGGTGAGATGGTGAACGCAGGTCGCGCTCGGGCAATGGGCATAGCCCGAGTAGCAGCGAGGCGCAGGCTCGTGGCCTGAGCTAACCTAGGCAGCATGGCGCCGGTGGTGATCTGGTGATGGTGGGAGAGGCTCGAAAGAGGAGAATTGAACCACAGCCAAGGGAGTGGAAAAGTTAAATCGGAAGACAGACGGACGGCTGTGCTGGATTATACAGACGGGGCAATCAAACACAGCATGGCCTGGTGTCGAGCTGCTGGGTGACGAAAGCGTTGCCGCCGTGTCGAGAAGAATTACAGAATGCGAAGGTTTTCAATTTCATCCAACTTCGAGCTTGTTCCATTCGTCAGTCAGTTCATTCATTCAGCTCTGGCATCACTCTGGTCCCACCGGCGCATTACATAAGGCAATTGAGCCCACCTTGCGCCGGATGAACGGTTTCTCCGGGCTGACCTCCACCAGCTCCCCCACTTCACTGGCCGATGCTCACGTGCACCCCTGGCTTGCCGCTTGCTCGTCTCTGCCCCTCGTCCAGCCGAATCTCGGCGATGCATTGATTGGTCATAGTGGCGGGCTGTCAGTGGTCTGTGTCCATCCCTTCCATCATCCTGGTCCATCAGCTAAAACCCGTCCGAGATACCCAGCATCGAAATCCGACATCCAAGCGTCTCGGGCCTATCTCCGGTCGATTGCCTCCCGCTTCTCTTCATTTCTACTTTACTTTACTGTACGGAGAAGGTCCATTAATCCTTCTTACACCTTGGCCTTGCCGACAAGTTCCAAGATCGACTCGCGACGACCACGATGCCCGTCTGCGCTGCCGTTTAGAGGGTAGCTCTAGACTGACTGTCGAAAGTGTCTGCCACCTCGTCATGGAACCGCCCTTTACGTCGGAACTGTCTCACGAGACCGCCTGAACCTCCCACTCGATACTTCGCCATTTAGTTAGCTTGCGCATTGCATTGTCTCTTGTCTTCACCGTAGTGTGTTGGCTTGAACTGACAGCAAATTACATCAGAATCGCCACCTCAGTATCCAGGAGAGAGCAGTTTCTGCTCTTCGAATACGACTGCAACCATGCCTCGACGACCAGCTCGGAATACGCTCATGGTCCGGCGGCCAACGACTTCACAGATACAGGCCATGACCGCATCCAAGAGTGCAACCCCGCCCCGCGATCTCGATGTCGAAGTCAGCGGTCTGGACATCGCCTCCCTCACACTCGATACTCCCTTGATCCCATTCGTACCTAAAAGACGGGTTCCAAAGACGCCGTTTCATTTCCTCTCCCTTCCCGCCGAGGTTCGAATTTCAATCTACGCACACTTCTTTGACGACGACGAGAATGAGGAAGGCGACGTGCTCGATCTCGAACCAAGAAACTACCGACGTTTCCACAAGAAGCTGGCAATCATCCGCGTCTGCAGGCTGGTTCGCGAGGAAGCAACGCACTACTTCTACAGTACCCGAATCTTTCGCATCTTCCCCATCTTCCCTGGCCGATACTTCAAAACCAAGCGACCACTCCTGGCCCGCCTGAAGCCTCATCAACGAGCGTGCCTCACCTCGATCCAACTGCGCGTCGGCCCAGGTTGGGGTGCACCCCCACGCGGTTGGGTAGTGAACGATGCTCTTGGGTTGGCAGAATGCACCAACGTACGTACCATCTCGGTATTTGTCGAGAACGACCCGAGCGATAGTATCTATAATGGCTTCCGACGTGACGAAGGCTTTTATGAAGACTTCTGCCGCAATCTTCTGAGCAAAATCTTGGAAAGCATGCCGGCAGTCACTGCCATCCAGTTTGATGGACACCCGAGCGTGAAGAAGACTGGTGACATGATGAAGGGGCTTCTTGACCTCGCTCATACTGCCGGCAAATCTATACAATGGGGTCCTTTAAGAGGCTGGACCGATGCGGATGAGCAACCCGAGCTGCCTATGAAGAAGGCATCGTGGGAAGAGATGAAACATCGGCAACAGAATAATGAGCTACCTGGGTTGGCTGTGACCGAAGCACATACTTAGCACACTGGGTGTTAAGCAACGTGATATCGGTTATGAAGCCTGACAGAGTGCCTTTATACTCTTATGCTAGGTGATTACACACTGTTATTGGATCATGCAATGCGCATGGCCACGAGTATTTATGAAACCCTTACGATGTAATTAAATGATTAACTTGGTTTATGAGCGTTAAAAGTTTATTTCTGAACCGACTTGTCCTCATCTGATAATGTGCTGATCTGTGGGAGCCTCTTTCTCCTCGTAGCGATTTATGTCTTACCCAAGAAGACTTCGGTTATGAGAACACTATTCTTAGAACGTGGAATCAGTTAGTCTATCACTAAAAGATGAAACCAGCTGTCGAGGGATTGTAGGTATGGGCCCCTAGTAGGTTATTGCACACTTCGTGCTTGGCTCAAAAAGTTCAAATATACATATCTGTTGGATAACCTTACTCCATATGGCCTTTTGCGATACCGTTCTTTCCGAATTAAATCTGAGATACCACACAGCTGTATTTCTCCAGGAACACTGGCACTCATTTTATCTCTGTAACTTGAGAGAGGGAAAGAAATAGGAAACGAGCTTTGGATGGGATATTTCAGTTGCTGACACCCTACCTTAGCACTGACTTAGCTCTATGGACTTGCTAGCCAAATCAACAAATACTTGGTTTCAACCTCTTTTGAAGAGTTCCAGTGGTACAAATATTAATATAGGAGAACTAGATACCTCACCCTAACGTCAGCGTAGCAATGAATGCGACGCTCTGTATGATACCTCAGCTTATATGCGTCCCAATAACTCGATATTCTTTAATCCCCGAAGGGTTTCAATGTAATCTATCCAACCCCGACATGGCTAAGCCTCAGCACTTTCTGAGAATCCTCTTGCCAGTAGCAATTTGTAATCATTAATAACAAGTTCTCTTCGGCTCACTTATGGAATTTCGGGCCAGCTTCCTTTGTAGCCATCTCATTTAGCGGCGTTCGGAAGCAGCTCGCCGTGGCCCATTTTCGATAAATGTGGGCGAGAGAGTCATTAAAGAAGCAGGTCCGATGACACCATAATATCACACCAATGAGCCCACGAACGCTTTGCTGCCGTCTTGCGGGGGAACCCATGATTAAACAGGCTAAATCTGCCATATAGCATTGGCACCAAGCTGCCATGTTGGACTATCGTAAGACCTCAATTGAGCTATTGAAAAGTCACATGGGAACGAAAGATATATATTGCTCAATATTGCAGCCGGGGGCGTCGGATCAAGGCACAGACAGTTCCGCGACGGGAAAATAAAATCCGTATTGCATCTAACTAGCTGGACTTCGTACTATAGCTTCAAGATCTATTTAAGAAGACATAATCATCAATTAATTCGTCATGAGGATCCTGTACATGATTAATGACAGCCAAGATGAGACAAAACGTGGCAATTGCGTTTGCAGCAGCTCTGTGGCAAGGAGTGGCCGCTCAGGCTCCAGCATACGGTCAATGTAAGTCTCATCATTGAGTGTCTATAAACGCTAAGCACTTGATATTAACTGAAATAGGTGGTGGTAATAATTGGACTGGGCCAACAACCTGCGTGTCTGGCTACTATTGCCAGGTTCAGAATGAATGTAAGTTAAATGTTCAGACTTGAATGGAGACAACAGATGCTAAAGGAGCAGGGTACTCGCAATGCGTACCGGGAACTGCTTCAACAACGAGTAGTACTCGAACAACTCTGTCTACCTCAACCACCTCAGCTACATCTACCAGGACTAGCTCTCAGCCTGGAACTACGAGTACCGCGGGTGCCTGCACTGGCACGTTTACTCCTATTTCTGCTAGCAATTATGTTGCTGCCCTTGGCGTCGGGTGGAATCTCGGAAACAGCCTCGATGCAACACCGAATGAGGATTCGTGGAACAACCCTCCAGTGACAGAGAAAGTCTTTGACTATGTCGTCTCAGAAGGCTTCAAGTCTGTCAGAATACCCGGTAAGTAACTACTGAAGTAACCCGAATAAAATATAACTAACAACATCAGTGACATATACGCACCATCTGGACAGCGAATCCCCTAATTGGACGATTAATGCCAATTGGTTGCAACGGGTCGAGAATGTGATTGACATGGCTCTTGCAAGGAACTTATACGTCATCACTAATCTTCATCATGGTACGGGTGCTCAGTTCGCCTTTTCGATTTAGTTTCTAACGATGTATAGACTCTTGGGAGTGGGCAGATGTCACAGCTTCAGGAGCTGATATAACCGCCATCCAGAGCCGCTTCAAGGCTGTATGGACACAGGTGGCGACAAAGTTGCGTTGTAAATCCTCTCGCTTGTCATTTGAGTCCATCAATGAGCCGCCTGCTACTACAGCCGCTCATGGTGCCCTTATCAACCAATTCAACCAGATATTCAATGACGCGGTTGTTGCGAGTGGCGGCTTCAACCCTCAGCGCGTCTTGCAGTTTGCGGGCGGCGGCATGGATGCCACCAAGACGACTCAGTGGTTCCAGGCACCTTCAGGCGTTAACAACCCGTGGGCGCTACAGTTCCATTACTATTCTCCATGTAAGTTACTCGATCCATTATCCCCATATTAGGTAGGATGTTAACGCATTATAGATGACTTTGTCTTTGGGGCCTGGGGTAAGACCATCTGGGGATCTGCTGACGACAAGACCACAATGACCAATGAGTTCTCTATTGTGCGCGGCAATTTCACCAATGTCCCGCTGGTTCTTGGTGAATTCGACGTCAGTGTTGTGCACACCGAGCCGGCAGCGAGATGGAAGTGGTTCGATCACCTGGCAACTACCGTCAAAACCCTTGGCATTGCTCCTATCGTTTGGGACAACGGTCTTGACCACCTTGATCGCAACACGGGTATCTGGCGCGACCCAGTTTCCATCGCCATCCTGAAAGCCGGCCTTGCCGGTCAAAAGAACTCTTTGCCAGACAGCACAACAGACGCCAGTGCTACGACCCAGTCCAGCTCGGCCTTTATCTGGAACCGAGTTGGTAGCGAGGTTGCCGACTACAAGTTGCCATGGTTGTTCAACGGCAACACCCTCACTGGGGTCAAAACAAATAGCGGCAAGACTCTTTCCAGTGGGAGTGACTACACAACTGCCTCCGACTCCATCACGTTCACAAAGAGCTTCTTGTCGCAGTACCTCGGACCCAGTGTGTCAACAGGAAGCAAGGCGAACCTCACATTGACATTCTCTGCCGGAGCATTCTCCAACGTTGAGATTATTCAATGGGATACACCAAAGTTCCTCTCAACTCCAGCACCGGTTCTAGGCCAAGATTTGAGTATCCCTATCAACTATAATGGTCTCAAGCTGGTCGCGGCTGTGAGAGCAAAGGCTACAGATGGCACATATCTGTTTGATGACTGGACGCAGTGGCTTGGCCCCCTTCAGCAGGCAAGAATCGTAAGTATTATACGTTTCCACCAAGCAAGTATATCGAGAAAACTGACATATTTTGATACTAGACATATAACGGTCAATTCTTCTTTGACGGGGCCCAGGTGGTACTTAAAGATGCTACGCTCCAAGCTGTCAAGAGCTTGGGTAAGCCGGTAGATTTTTTGTTCGAGTTTTACCCTCGGGTTGAGGGCAACTCCATTTCGTACACGTTGACTCTGTAGCCTCCATGAGTCATCTCGGTTAGGAGGAGTTGATAGATCGGACTTAAATCCGATGTTCTCATAGTATTCCATATTTGCTCTTCCAACTATCCAAGATTTGACTAGGATGACCACGAGAGGTATGCGTTTCCTAAACCTGGTAGAAGACCAAAGAACTATCATATTCCCCACCGACATGAATGATGTGCTCGCCCCGGTTATGATTTTCGTATGGCGGCATTGTTTCAAACTCGGGCAGGGTCATATAGTGCCCTGACACATAAAGCAATAACCTCTCCCCGGCATCAAATATCAGCCCAGTTGGCCACAGCTGTATCTCGAGCCGAACTACATTGCCAGGTGCAACGGGCTCGACCTGACTGTGCGAGAGGGTTCTCCAGGATTTGCTCCTACTAGACAGAGCTTCAGAAACGTGGCGTCTTGATGCACGAAGCATTCCTGTAGGCCCCAAATACTTCAACACGTTAAGGTCTGGCACCTCCGAGACTGTGGAAACCCCAATGTCCTTCAACGGGATGTTGGCGTATGTTAGCACTTCTCCGTTTTTGTCCGCCTTGCGCAGCTGAACATGTACATCCATGTCATTACTGCTGGGAGAAGAAACGTAGAGGATAGCCGTTGCGGGTCCTGCGAGCCTGGTTTCTTGAACAAAAGTATGAGAGAAAAATGGATCATCAGGGTCGGGTCCCATCAACTTGGATGGAGCGTCTGCTTGATATCTAACTTGACCCGGTTCGGACGCCTTCGTCGGTGATAGCTTTCGATCGGCCGATAGGAAAAGGCGCTTTTCAGTTGCGCTGGAAAGGTTCCATGGAAGGTCAGTGAATGGTACATTGACCTCGGAGTCTTTGTTGAAGTTAATAAAGGCGTATCGGACTCGAGGCGTATTCTCCCAGCCGTTATCGATTCCCTTCAAATATCGATCCATGAATTTCTCAAGGTCATCTGTGCGCTCCTTGGTATAGAGGTCATACCACTCTTGGGTAGTGTGGACGGATATCCTACTCAAGAGTTAGTGACAAAGAGTGCCAAAAGATTGAAAATCCTCGTTTATACCATTTATCCTTGGATGCCATCTCTTCAAAACCGCGGAAAGAACCAACATTGTGTAGGCCCGTTGAAAAGCTTGCGACAATGTAACTAGGCACCTTTATTTCCTCCATCCTTGCGCGTTTGTCGTCCCAATACTCGTTACTATCTGGATATTTAGCTGCCATTGCTGGCATGTCATCTCTTTGCCCCCTCCCTTGGGTCTGTTAGCACAATAAATGAGAGTGTTGAGTTTGACTGAAACTGACCGATAAAAGATGCCGACAAAGGAGTTGCGAATCGCGTGTTCAGAATTCCGCCGCGGTGCATATGCTCTCTGAAGGGATCACTGATGCCTTCCATGGGAGCAATGCAGGCCAGGTGAGGCGGGTGTTGAGCTGCCGTGTACCATTGACAAGCCGCTAGCCAAGAGTTTCCGGCCATTGAGACTCTTCCCGAGCACCAAGGGAGTTTTGAAACCTCCTCGACAGTGTCGTGTCCATCCTCTCCCTCTGCAGAACCCCACCATCTCACATTTCCCTCGGAATCATTGATACCTCTTGCGTCAACGTTGACAATGGCATATTGCTTCGGGACCCATTCAGCAGGGTCGAGGCTAATGAAACTGGTGTTAGAGAATGCGCGGTCGACAGAGAGTCATGATACTAATGGCTGCATAGACCGCTTTGGGGTCTTCGTTGCCGACTTTGACTCACCCTTCGAAATTTTCATAGCCAGACAACTTTGACTCAGGAATACCAACACGGAAAGGAAATTTGTCAATGTTAAACCACCCTATTAATGCATTAGTGGCATATCCTGAAAACTTCTCTCTAGATTTAATAGCTCTCAGGATGATAGCATACGCACCTGATCCAGATTTACCATAAGGGCCATACATGATGATGGCTGGGACTTTCTCGTTAGTGACAGGGCGAAACACATCCGCACGGAGGGTCACTCCATCACGCATGGTGAGGATTTGATCACTCTCGAGGATCGTCTCGACTACAATAGGACGCTTCTTTTCGGTTCGCCTGTGTCCTGGTTTGAGGATGGTGCGCGAAGGGGATCGAGGTTCTCCATGAGTAGGTCTTATATTGTCTTGATGAAGTACATCGATTTGGCCAACTTTGTACGAGGACATGATTGTTGAAACGAAAAGTTCGGGCGACGGGTAAGTGTTCTATATTGTCAAACCAAATGTTACTGATAGGTTCAAATAGAGTTTTGGTTTGTCCTATCCAGCAGTCGGCTATATTATATATAGTACTTTATATTTCAGCAGCTCGGAGCGCGTCAACCCCAAAGCCGTCCTATCCCACCAGCCCGGACACTTTGGAACACCGAATACTACGTAAATTCTGCTCTGGGCTTAGACTCGCATATACGGATATAGTGGTCTTGTTCTACGGCGCCTGACTTCCAAGGATGCTCGTGCTCGCGAGAAAGACTCGCCGTCTCCACTTCCCTTAAAGTCTCAGTGTGATCTGCCCGAGGAAGCCGGAAACAATTTTCCTCTCGCCTAGAGCCTTTTGTATAGCTGAAGAGAGAATAGGCTCATGGGTCGCGATTCGCGAAGTCTCTGGCCGATTTTGCCCATGTTCACCCAGTGCGAATAGCTAACCTGATATTTCATCATCGTAAGAAAGCTCAGCGATTCGGTCCGGATCGTTTGAGAGTGAGGAGGATATCTAGCTTGCGAGCTTCTATAATAAAGCGGTAGTGGATTTCTTCTAAAGGTTCTAACTTGTTTATCTTATATTGAACTGTGTTTATCATGACTAGAAAGATCATAACTAGAAGTCGTTTCTTTTAGTAAAATAATCTATGTTAGGTGTCAGTAGGAATATTGGCAAGACTAGATTGGTAGCTTCAGCAGAACATTCTCCATATCTAAAGCGCTAATTGCATTGAATATAATTTCAGAAGATCAATAGCTATGAAATCCGAATGCCTCAAAAAAGAGAAACTAGATATGTGACCGAAGTTGTTCAAACGATGGCTGCGTATCGCATTTTTGGGCGTGGGTATAGGGTATGCTACGATGGAAATATGGTCGAAGCACATATGCTGGACAGAGGCGGCAAGCGTCTATTTTGCTGCATATTCTATTGAGAACATTGAGATAACGTTATGAAAGGCATATGCCGATGATGCTGGCAGTGAGACTCTACATATTTTCTTGGACAATGGACAAGGTTGTTGCTACCAAATTGCTGAGATCCCGTGGCGTGTGGCCCTGAGATGATGAGCTCCGTCTTGAAGCGGAACAGCATCATGAGATGACGGCCACTTGTCTGAGGCGAGTATCCGCGTGTTTTTGTAGATTGTACGATGAGTAGATAGGATCTCACCTATTATCTGAGGTCATGTAAATGTCCTCTTTGTCGCTGCGCGTCGTTATTGAACTTACGCGGTGCGCAAACGGTTCATTCACAGCAGGTGGATGTCCAGTCACCGGAATAGATCACGGCTCGGAAGAGGAAAAAAAACCAACAAAGAAAATATTATACGAAAGTTGCCAATATTACAGCACCGTCCTGACCAGTGAGCCCATCATGAGGAGAGCTTCCATCCTGCTCATCCACCAATTTTCCAAACAGGGGTATCCAACCTACCCGTATCCCAGGGTATCTTCCCAAGGTATCCGATGTGACGATAGAAAAAAAGAAAAGGAATAGAGGCGTGATCGACTGTTTAGAAGGACACGTATTTGATGTTCTTGACCTTCTTCTGGTGCACCGATTTGGCGGGCTTGATTGAGTGTCCATGCTGCGTCGCGCATTTGGCTGGGAGCACTTTTGTGCTGCCGGCTTTCGTCGTCTTGACCTTGGCGGGCACGCAGACTTGGTCTGCGTCACAGATCTTGCCGCCGCATCCCAGCTCGCGTCGGAACAGGTGGGAATTGAGGTCGAGCTCCTCCGCATGGCGTTTGGCGAGCGCGACGCCGTAGTCGGACGAGGAGGGCGAGTAGGCGACGGCGAGAGAAGAACCAGCCAAACAGGCCAGCGCCAGGGCCGTGGATGGGATCATAATTAATTATGAGGTGGAAGTAAGGCGTAGAAACGAAGGGAACAATAGAGGCGAGAACGAATCGAATGGGACCAGCCCTGTAGTTGGTATATTTTGGTTTGTTTTACAATTAGTTTACAGTAGAGAATGGATGGGATCGAGGGCCGCGGCGTGTTTGGGCTGCCAACAGTTAAGTAGCCTCAAATTACTCAGTCTTTGCCCCAGTATGACACAAGGAGGCTCCGAAATAGAAAGCATCAGCTTGGGACTTGGGTGCGGCGGTTCACTCAGGATTTGCTGAGCGATCCGAGCTTACCCAAGCTTTCCCCCCACCGGACATGGATGAAAATACAGCTAGCGGCGCATTCTCCCTCGTTTGACGGAGCTGTGCCAGGGATCTGCAGCGGCAGGTTAGTCGCAGCCCTGCAGGATAAATGTTCTTATTCTTGGCTTCTTTGGCAGCACATATGACGGCAGCAAGCCGACTGGTTCGCTCTTTTAATAATATCTGCGTGTATAGAGACCTTCAAGCTACATCACCACTAACGTATGTTATGTGGCTGATGAAGATGGAAAGCAGGCGAGTCAGTGTCTCGCCGTTGCTCGCGAATCGTGATTCGCCCCTAACCCCCTAACTTGAAAGGAAGTGGATGCCAATCCGAAGGCTCGGATACAGCATGAGCCCATTGGATCACGATTGGAATCTTGACCCACCATCTTCCGAGTCGTTTGACACTGTCGAATTCTTGAATTTCATCAAAAGACGAGCAATCCGAACAATGCGGGCTGGACTCAACGCTCTCGGTCCTCTTCCATGGCATAGAGCACCTAACTGCCACCATGCGGAGAGGACATACCAAGTCACGGTTCGGATGCAAGCAGTGTAAGAAACGCAAAGTCAAATGCGATGAGGCAAAGCCGTCGTGTCTCAAGTGCGTATCTCGCCGTCAGCACTGCTCTTATGTGCAAACCACGCTGCCAGCCCCAGTATCTCCGGCGTCAACCTTGACACCAAGTCTGTCCAGCAGCACGACCGCCACTTCCCCATCCCAGTCCCAGGATCAGCGAGTAAGAACTCGACCTCTGTCATCAGTCTCCTCTGATGGCGCCTCGACTTCTCACTTTGGCCCATCCTTCTTTGAGGCTAAGTACACTCTGCTCCATCTGGAGATCCTCGACCATCTCAGATCCCACAGGCTGGGATTTGATCAGCTACACAATCCAGCAATAGACAGGTTCCTTGACCTTGCATTTAACGAAGCATACCATACGCCGTATCTGATGGATGAGATGCTGGCATTCGCAGCGGCGCACAAGAGTACATTAGTCGCTGGAGACCTGCAGCACTTGTATCGCACTGAGTCGATCAGACTACAGACGCGTGCAGTATCCCAAGTCGACTTCGACCGACCTTCTGACAGCCGCCCCCTCGCCCCCTTCCTTTTCTCCACGTTCCTCGGCCAGCACGTCCTCTTCGACGTCTTCTCATCCACGCTCGACCTCGCTAAATCACTCGACAAGCTTATACAATGCTTCAACCTCCATCATGGTATCCGCAGTACTGCTAGCAAGAGTTGGGAGACCGTCCAGCATCTCATGTACAGCGACCCGTCGGCGGATTATACCGTCTCTAGGACCCTCGTTCCATTGACCACTGAGGGAAGCCACTGCGATGGACTTGTCGACCACCTCGAGCACAGCGGTCTGGACCAGCAAGTTCTTGCTACATATAGGCAGACTGTCAAGGTTCTGCAATATCTGTTGGACTCTGTACAATCCTCGGATACGCGCCGGATGACGGCGCTGCAAGAATGGCCCATTAGGATATCCACAGAATACATCCAGCTACTGCAACAACGCCGACCAGAGGCCTTGGTCGTTCTGGCGTACTACGGAGTACTGCTGCACTATGCCAGGGAATACTGGGCGGTCGGAGATTCCGGGCGCGTTCTTGTGTCTTCGATATCGAGTCACTTGGGTGATTATTGGGCGGACTGGTTAGCATGGCCACAGCGGGAAGTAGAAAAAACGTGAATAATTCCTATTTGAACAATTCTACCGAGAAAGCATCGCCTATAGTTTCGTGTTTTGCCCCTCTTGTTATTCCTACAACAAGGCCTATTTCCAATCAACACACGACTTCCCAACGGCTAATTCTTATGGTCCCTGCAAGAAACCACATGCTGCCTGCTCGAATATAGCTGAGGGCATAGCTATCTTGTCACATCGCTACATCTGGGACCTGGATTTATAACGCATGGTATAAAGACACTAATTCTACTTCTATGTGCTGTTTGCGCTGAAAATTAAAACTTGAGATTCTCGTCTTCTCGAACCCAAGAGTCCCGTTCTCTTACCCAACACGGCGGAACAAACCAAGAAACCCATTAGAGCTAGCAAAAACATGAAGCAGACACAACAAAAACTGCCCCCGTCAACACGGCGCCATTCGGCAATGAGCTACTTTAGCATAGATTGCTGGGAGTCCATGTTGACATCGTCCGATCCTCCAGGTTGCCCAACAACATCTTCGGGGAATTTCCAAGCAAAGACAACAGTAACTGTGAACATGAGAAGGGAGTCAAACACGTACAATGTCCACTCATGAGACAAAGCATACCCGGTATAACCTTGGCAGTACTCGATCACTCGGAAGATGGAGCGCACCATGATGAGGAGACTGACGACGTAGAGCATGATCATCGTGCCCTCCCACGATGGCAAGTATGGGCTAGTTCGAGAACCCAGGGCTTGCTTCATCCTCCTGTGGAACACAACAGCCAGAACACAGAACAGGGCGAACATGATGACCTGTATGAGCAGACCGATCACCACGATCCGTTCAGACCATTTCGCCAAGTTCTGATTCTGCACTACTGACATTCCGCCCCCGGCACCCTGGACGACAAAGGAAAAAACATCGCCCAGGACAAAAGTCAGTGTGATCTTCGAGGGCCTAACGAGGGAGTGCAAGCTGCCACGGACAGTCGTGATCAGCCTCCCCAGCGTCATGTAGATCGTGGCCGCGAAGAGGACAGGCGCGACGAGGATGAACATGTTTTGGACGACAAACGGCATGAGCTTCCCCGTCTTGCTGTGCGCCCCTGCGCGAATGCCGTAGCCGACCATTTCCACTATCTGGTGTTAGCCCATGCCGGCATATACTGGCATTGAGGGTGTTTGGCACTTACTGAAACCTCCGGCGGCGAAGGCAATGCAAAAAACGGTTCGCGTTTTCCATATCCTCCAGGTAGTGTAAAGAAATGTGGCCATGAAGAGGACGAGGAATAGAGCGGCCGCCCCGACGTTTGGGGAGTATCGCCAGAGATATATGCCACCTTTGGTCGGCTCGACGCCGGGCACTGGCGTCATTAGACCTTCTGTAGACATTTTGAATTTCTCGAAGACGGTACGTCAGAGCAAATTATTCTAATCGGGAGGTTGATAAAAGGGCTCTGAGATCGGAAAGGCAAGATGTTGGAGACAAGAGAGATGAGAATGGATAGTCTAGACAAAGGACAAACTGAGCCTGGAGGAGCTCCAGGTTTATATACGAGTTTGAAACAGAATCACAATTCACTTTAAATCACATAGTATTATATGGGAGAAGTTGGCTATGCTAGTGCCTGATTCGCTTGCGTATGGGATACACGCAATAGAAGGACCGAAGCGGGTATGATGGAATCCGAGGCACGTATCTGCGTTTCCGAGTAGACACACTAACAAGTAGCTTCGCTTTAGGGAAATAGACTGTTAATTAGACCAACCCCCTGAAGATGTTTGGAAAAGAGGGAGATGAGATTGAGCTTCCTCCGAGATCTCCACGCGGCTATGTGGGCGGACCGTGTTCGCTCTCAACCCGAGTTTTGCGGGCCAATCGCTTCACTCTGAATCCGACAACTCCTCCCCCATACAACATCTCCCCTGCTACAGCCAAGCTATAGCCCCATCCATTTGAAAATTCGAATGGATCAATACCGCTTTCAAACATTGAGTACATGTTTGACCATGTTATCATGGTTTTCTTCACCTAAAATGGAAACTCCGGGCCCCGTGCCACCTACTCACGCAGAACAATGATATAAAGACTCGCTTTCTGACCGTTGTGAGTGCTAGATCTCAATTACAAGTCGAGTCCTCCTTGAGTGCCAGCAGCTTCATTTCCACCTAAACTAGTCATTGACTTTGAGATTCACCAATCTTGCTATGGCCCTCTCATCGACAGAGTTCTGCACACCGAGTGCATTCAACCTATCTCTATATGGAGCCGAAATCCTGTCACTCCAAGCTAATCTGGTCACAAACTACAGTGCCTCGGTGCCGGAGGCCTTTCGATACACTTCCCCTTCCGTAGAACTCAAGAATGCTACGTTCTGCAATATCACCGTCACCTACACGCACCCGGGACAGAACGATAGTATCATCACAGAAGCCTGGCTTCCTGCGGAATGGAACGAGCGATTCATGGCTGTTGGGGGAGGGGGCTGGGTAGCCGGACGATTCTTTCTGAGTTACAATGCCATGAACGGTGCCATCGCCGACGGCTATGCGACCATTACCACAGACGCTGGGCTTGGCTCCGCGGATGAGCCTGGTCCGTGGGCTCTGAATAGCCCTGGGAACATCAATCTTTACAATTTGCAGAATCTAGGATCTGTGTCCCTGAATGACGAGGTAGCCATCATATCATCTGCAGCCAACTTTAGATGCTTACTTTTTGACAGGCAACGATTGGCAAGTCTCTGATCAGGAGCTTCTATGGAAAAGACCCCAATTTCTCTTACTGGGCGGGATGCTCCCAGGGCGGCCGCCAGGGGCTCATGCTCGCCCAACGCTACCCGGACGTTTACGACGGCATTGTCGCTGGCGCGCCCGCAATCCATTTTAGCAAACTGGCTACTTTCATACAATGGCCTCATCAGGTCATGAATGAGCTAGGGGAATATCCATACGGTTGTGAAGTAGATGCCATCACGGCGGCAGCTATTTCTTTCTGCGATGATTTTGACGGTATCACTGACGGTGTCATATCAAACGTTGATGAATGCCTCAAGTCGTTTGATGCCTCCTCTCTCGTCGGTGAGCCGATAACGTGCGCACAGAAGAACGGTACGCAGCTCCTCATCAGCGAAGCCGCTGCGAGGATCGTCAATGCCACCTGGCACGGCCATGTAACTGCGGATGGTGAGTATGGGTATCATGGGATTCTACCCGGGGCGGACTTGACGGGAAACAGTCCCAGATCATACGGCCAGTCCGCTGTTGTGACCACGGAATGTGACGAAAATGGATGCAAAAGTGCGCCCAATTATCTTGCCACTTCTTGGTTTAGTCTTTTTGTGGCCAAGAACGCTACGTTCGACTTGACAAACCTGACCCGTAAGGAGTTTGACCTTCTCGCACATGCCGGTTACCAGGAATTCGCATCCTTGATCGAGACGAGTGACCCGGACTTGAGGAGATTCAGGGATGCTGGAGGAAAGATGGTAACATTCCACGGTCTGGTGAGTATAGCTCGAAGAGGGTGTTAACGCCGGTGCTCTTTGCTCGGTCACAGGATAATTGACTAACACATTGTTCCACAGGCCGACAATGTCATACCTCCGGGCGGTACCCGAGACTACTACGAGGCCGTGGGGAAGATTACACCTGATGTTCACGACTTCTACCGTTTGTTTGAAGCTCCTGGGCTGGGCCACTGCTTCGGGGGCGCAAGTGGCCCACCAACCGCCCTCTTTGAGCAACTCCGGGGATGGGTGGAAAATGGAACGGCTCCCGAGAACAGTCTAGTCAAGGTGTCGGTGGGTAACTCGACGCATGAGAGGATACTTTGCTCCTATCCAGCCATTCCTCATTTCAGCCAGACCTGCGGAGATGCTTCCAGAGCCAGTTGCTGGTCCTGTTCCGACCTGCTGCCGTCCTACAACACTACTAAGAGTAATAGTGAGACAGGATATGATTCTCGATCTCACGAACTCTAGCTTTGTGTGGGCTTATATCCTCTTAAGGAATCATGGCCTCTATGGAAATAGCAAGCTACGTAACTGAAGTCAAGGAGGAGAAGAAGGAAGGTTAAAGGGGGAGCGTAGAGGCGTGGGTTTGCCATCTCAGAGTTGAGGCTAGTCCATAGACAATAAGTAAGCCCAGTTGGGAAGTGTACCTCAAAGAATTTCATTGTGTATCTTTTCAATCTGACGCTGTAAAGCCCGAATCAGTAGAACGTACCACAACTGGCATAGCTTCCCTGAAACATGTTAGGAGCCGGGCGCTGTTGGAGTGCAACACAACCAGCCAAGCCAACCTGCAGATCTCCCGGGAAGTTCGATGGTTTAGGTGGATCTGCAAAATCCCCTGGCGGTCGGATTTTAGGCGACCTAGTGTCGAACTGGATGAGCCGACGGGGAGCTATCGACTCGGCCGAGTGCGCATCGAGTTCGTTCTATGATGGGTGCCTGTCTAATCTTTTGACCAGAAGCTAACCAGATATCGATATGAGGCTTGGTAATGAACCTCGGGGAAACAATTATATGATGGAATGTGCTGGGGATGATTTGTGTTCGACTTTACCGCGGATGGTTTGAGCCTTGAGCCTTGAACTGAAATATAGAGAAGTAATTGTCGCCAGAATGCAACACGACTCTGATATCAACTCCTCTCGAGCAAGCTCATCGTGTAGGTTGCCAGCCATTCCTCATTCTTCGTGAATTTTACGGTAAAATAAAATCTAGTATCGCTAAAGCTTCCACCAATTTCGCATAATTTATGCTTTCTTTTCAACCTCAAGATCGGGTCTTTTTTTCTAAATCGAGCTTCAAGAAACGCCGCAGCCGTTGGAAGGATTTGTTATTATGTATATTTGATAGCTACCTTGTACAGAGACAGTTGCTAACTGTTACTTTTCGCTTCTAACTTAAAACCATGTTTAAAAACACACTCATCATCGCTACCGTGCAGATCCAAAAACAAAGCGCCAAAGACTAAGAAACCAGATGGCCATGCAAGCTCCGTAAAATGCAAACGCGAAACCCCATCATTCTAATGGGCGGGCATTTCGACGGCAGGAGTGTGCCTGGCCGGCATCTCAACTGGAGGCATGGACGGCCCTACGGGGAACCGAGGATCATATGGCGGCGAGGTTGTGTGAGGTGTTACATGGGGAGTTGCATAAGCCGTGCCATGCGGTGATGAGTAGGCTTGCGATTGCGTTGTGCCCCAGCTCGCCAGCTCGGAATACTTGCCGGGCGAGTGAGGATACTCCTGTTCCTGCGCCTGCGCGGCTGCCCGTTTCTTGGCCTCGTACCAGCGGTTCAGGAAGAACCCAAGGCAGAGCAGGGCAATCACTCCGAGCGAGACGCCGATACCGATACCCGCCTTTGCCCCTGTGGTCAGCCCACCGCTGCTGCTGCCTGAAGTACTCTCGTCGCTGGTCGAGGTCGGTGAGGAGGCGGATGTCGTGGTAGTTGCGCTGCTGGTGGAGGAGGAGGTTGACGACGACGACGATGTGCTTGTTGAGACCTGCGTGGACGAACTCGAGACCAATGTGCGGCTCTTCACAACGTCGTATGAGCTTGAAGAGTTGTCGTATGATGCCCATATACCCGGATTGGAGGGCAGAAGTTCAATGCGGTTGACTCCAGTCGAGCAGCAGCTGTCGGCCGAGTACCAACAGCAATACGAGGTGTCTTTCTTGGTGGTGGATGAACACGACTTCATGCCAACACCGTCGCTCGCATCGGTGTCTGCGCCGCAAGAAATGTCAGCGTCCCTCCTCTTTACGCTTCATTGTTGTTCTGCGATAGAACCCAACTTACCCAGACAAAACTGAGGACACCACTCTGAGTCCCAGTTCTGATCCGTACACGATCCACGACTCTTGTGACCGCCGCTATCCTGACAGAGACCATTCTCAAGACATACTGTGCCTTCCGATTTGGAGCAGCAGACGCTCACTTCGGCATTGGGGTCGCAAGGGACATCGTTCTTGGCGATGTTGGAATTGGAAAAGTAGCATGTCGAATTGGAGACGGCGAGCGTCCTCGGCACTAGGTGTAAGAGGAGCGAAGCGAAGAGAATGCCGTGCATCTTTGGCTCCTTTCCCGAAGCTGACCAAGGGCGAGGTTATCTAGCACCTGAGCATACTTGAGCTGAGATCGAGAGGGATGGAAGAGATGGAGAAGGGTGTATGTATGATTGTTAGGTTACCACGACATCTCACGTGTTTGACCTGGGAGGATCGACAGGGAAGGCAAGGCATATCTTTAGCGATGGACAGATGCTATTTTCGGTTACGTCGACTAATTCCCCAGTTGGTGCACTCACTTAAATCCCGGCCTTGCCTCAATGCGTGAGATTTTGGCGGGTTTCGAAACACCTCGACCCATTTCTCGTGCGCAGCCCATTGGCAGCAGCAGGGACGACGAGGATCAGGAGGGAATCGGCATCCGGTGTGTTTTACTGCCGATTCCAGGGCCTGCCAGCAGTTACACCATGACATCGTTAGGCTGAGACGAGTCTGATCCTTCGGCACTACCCATCTCATCAGGGGTACCAATCCCGAGTTGAGTATCTTGCCTCTGACCTGTCGCTTTACCTTCTATTATCACTCAGGGTTGGAGGAACGGAAGCCAGCTGCGAACAGTGTAGGTTACTTGACGCACACAGGGTCTGATACGGTCAATAATGACTCGATCATGGCAGGAACAGCTCTTTGATGAACAGCAGGGAACTTCTGGAGGGCCTCATTTTCGGCCATACCCATACACGGCAACTCAAGACCGAGCTTGGCGATCCCTGTCTAGTGACTGGTCCACAACGGCTCCTCAACACATGGCGGGTAATTAGCCAGCGCTTACAATGCTTGGAAGCGACGGACCCAGCCTCTGCCGAAGAGCTTTTGGCTTGGCCCGCGACTACCTACAGTGGGCTGCTGTTAAAGAGCGCCATGGGAGTTGGGGACGAGACGAACGTGCCCCAACGGCGATGTCACGGCGTGATTGATTGCAGGAGCCACCCCCTGGCTTGATCCTCCTTTACCTTTCCTTCAGAGTTAGTGGCCCTCTCGCTGCTTGAGTAGATCGCTCCCGTTTCGTGTCTACTGGCGTGTTTCGTGGCACCAATAACAATGCCACTCCGTCTGGGTAGTGGAGTTTCATTGGAAGCACAGGGGTGAGGCACAGCAGACCTTTGGCGATGGTACTGGCACCGATATGCATACCTGCTTGGATATAATAACCTGATCTCGGCTGGGCGCGTAATTCCAGACCTCCATCCTTGCCTACAGAAAAGTGTATCAAGGTAATTCTGGCATTACAAGGCGAGTGCTTTGCATCTGTCGTGCATCTTACAGAACGGCCAAATACCCTCCAACCTATTCCCCATCCGTATAGTTGCCCCGATGGATCATGGTTGCACCCCTTTAGGGCCTTCGCTATGTCATTCCACCTGGAACGATGTCATTCCGCTTAGGATGACTGTGAACAACGTCATTCCTCGATCCTCACAGCTCATAATCTGCAAGTCCATGCAAGAGGGCCGCTGCCCATATCCAATTCCATTACGCTGAGAGCGACATGCTCTTGTTACTCTCTGTCTTCCTCGTTTTAGCTGACGTATGCCCTGGCCATCTGGGTAGGACGGCGCTGACACGGGGACGCGAATCTGCCCCAGCCACAGCTCGATTCTGTCCGAGAATCGGGGTTAAGAAGTGATTACTAGATCATGGTTAGGCGGATGGACATAGCTGATAGGGCTGGCTGCCTTACTGGTGCGTGTTTCAGAAGTGTCCATGGGTAGGAACATTCATTCCACGGTAACGAATGGGGTTATGCGGTTGTTGCACCCGAACTCTAAAACAACGTTGATTGATTCGAATATCCCGAGTTGTAAACCTCGTCAGCGGTGTATGCATACGTCGATGTAAAGTGGCGAGTGTGCCTGCTTGCTCCGGTGAAGTTAGATGTGCTGTGGCTGTGAGAAATTACGCTTACAAAAACAGGCTCACCCTGTTAGAAATTTCAAGGTGGATTCACACCTAGTATCGATATTATTTGCGATAAAACAGCTTCCAATCCAATCCAATACTAGTGAATTACACTTCTTTTTGTGCATCTTGTTGAGAAAATAGGTTGAATCTCTTATGTAATTCCTTGGCGTGCTTGAGCCTCCGAGGAGATCAGGTCCCGGTCTGTGCACAAGGGCATTTCAAGTTGGTTTTTGAAGCACAATATTGTCAATTCTTGACATTGAAATTATAACTCATACTTGGTACATATCATCTCATACAGCATGAATTCTAGTCAGAGCCTCTGGTGTGATGTATAAACTAACCCAGTGGCCTGCGGGCCGTGCCGAGATATGCTTTTTAACTGGGAATTAGATGGACTGCTTCCCCCATAAACAGTTATCTTCTGTTGATCGTAGTCATCTCAAATGTGATAGTTTGGACCCTGGAGAAACAGTTTCTGTTATCCTGCATTGCCTTTACTAGATATTCTGAATTAGTCAGAGGATTGAGCTTTTGGGAATGGAAATCTAATAGAGGTATGAAGGTAATAACTGTAATGAGATGATTTACTTGTTCTAGAGAACCCGTATCATCCTGACTTTATTGGCACCTCGAGTCGGTCACTGGAGGAGAGCTCTTCAGATAGTGTGTTGGAACACTTAGTAAATGGTAGAGCGACTTAAAATACAAAGAAAAACTGAGGGTAATATCTGTAGCGATAGACCAAAGGGAGTGGCTCGGCAAGGATAGAGAAATAGTCGAGTGCTATGACTAGGCGCCTGGCGTTTGCCGTGCTGTTTCTTTCTATAAAACTAATAATAAAAGCCAGTAGAATAGCTTTTCAAAGTGCCTAGAAATTTGGTCTATATTCTAGATCTATACACTAGTACTGGAGGTTTAGATCTCATTACTTGAAGAACTAGCATTGATTCAAGCTATCAAACTACATGGATTATTGCATCTAATAAACTTTGACTTTCTTGTCCCAGTCTCACCGACATTTCTACTTACAGCTGATTTTAGGTAGCAATTTCTCCTAAACAGGAAAGATTCGATTTTGACTGCTTGATTCTCATTTACAGGTCATACTCCATATTCGTGCGTGTAGTTTCCGTTCACCGAGAAAGAGCGCATCGTGGACCGGGATAATATTTTCAGTAGGAGTCCAGGACGGAAAAGAAGCGAGCGGCAGACCGAACCTTCAATTCCTAACAAACCCATCTACTTGACTGATTTCTCTTTGACCAAACATCAGACAGACCGAAGAGATGGATGAACATTGAGTAACGCGACTAAGCCATTTTCAACTCGCCCGGGTCGTGATAGGTAGAGAAATGCCGAGAACGCCTTCTGTTTGTCGAGCCGAAATGTTCTTGATGGCTTATTATCGTAGACCACTTTGAACATCAAGCGTAGTGCGTTCATGAAACTCCATGCCAGTTTTGGAAATACCGCAGCGATGAAATGCGGTGTGAGACCTGTATTGCGGCCATTTCTGAACAGAGCTTCGTAGACATTAGAGAATCGAAGTCTGCACGGTGTATGCTGATATCGCGTGCTGTAGAGCACGGTGCTATCACTCACTTCGCCTACCGCTCTGCCCGAAAGATGTCCGCAGGAATGATGGATCAGATGTGTAGGGTCTAGAAAGATGCGTCGTGGCTCGCCAATGTCCAATGGAAGATGCAGTTTAAGATGCAGTTTGGTGCAAGTTCAGGCGGTGGTGCGTCCATGTGGCGTGGGAGCTGAGGCAAGACTTACTGCGTAGGGGTAACAGCGCGCCGATGAGTAGACCAGGTGCATCGAATGTGCAAGTACCGGTATGTGCCAGGAGGCAATTTCATTACTGCTTTCACAATGTGAAGTACTGCAGAGGTTATCACGTGCACATTTCATTTAGGCCGCCGTGGTACGAAAGCACAATCTTGCGGCAGGCACACACCTGGACGTTCCTGCCAAACCAACATCGCTCCTCATCCCCTCCATTTTCAGACCCTGAAATTTCCTTCCTTTGATTCTTCCATCTTTGATTCTTCCATCTCTGATTCTCCCATCTTTCATTCCCCCATCTTTCAACCCACCTCGATACGAATGCAGATTCCGCAGGATTGCTCGACCGATGAGTAGCTCAGATCGCCCGGCTCTCGGCCAGAGAGCCGCTCTCGGGGCTCTTTATGATGCCAAACTCGACATATTTCACCCCGGTTCTATTCTCACTGGCGTGCCTCCAGTTGGTGTTGTGACTGGCCGATCTGCTGCGAAAATCAACAACTTCGTCACAATTGGGGGAACGTATCGCGAGCGCCACGACGCGCTTGATATACAAGGCGACACCACCGCGAGCATTCTAGCTGGTTTGATTAAGCCACAAGGATCAGGCGTTTATCTCCGCAATGCCTCGAGCGACAAACTGATACTCTGCGGAGCGATTCATCATCGTGTTTCCACCGTGCAGCGGAAACTAAACCCCATGGCCGTGGAACCCCACAACCATCTTGATCTCGACTTGCTTCAAAACCGCGACAGCACCCATGTTGTTTTCGGAATCAACTGGGGCTTACATACCGTCTTGGAGGTGAAACAGCACATCTCCCAAGATGACAACTACGAGAATTCAAAAGATGCATTCGAAGCCGATCTGACCAAGCTTTGTAATTTATTTGCAGCTGAAAGCCAGGGCAGCCCGAGCACTATCTCATCTCAGATGAACCCCGAGTATAAGTATACATTATACAGCGATGCGTTCGAAGAGGAAGGGCTGGTTTTGCAGACAGCGGACGAGGCCCTGCAGTTCATCGGCCTAATCCCCGACAGGATCAAGCAGCGCAGCAACGGCAAAGGGTGGCCAGTATCATATGCCTTGTTTCCGCTGACTATGTTGCATCATTTCATTCCGCTGCCCCATGAGCTCCAAGTCACCTCGTCCCCCACAAGCCCCGAGTATCTCGCCAAATTCACCAATCTGTTTGATAACTACGAAATTGCTGAAGCCAAGCTACGAGCATACTTCGCTGAGCTGACTCGCCATGGCCTTCACATATCGGAGAGCCACATCGAAGAAGTGCGTCGGTCCATTAATCAGGTTGAGAAGGCGAAAACACTTGCCCAGGAGGAGTTCAAGCAGGGCCTGGTGAGCGTACGACGAGGTCAAACAGCGTCGACGACTCTTTGGGACTTATTCGACCAGTTTGACAATGGAGATTTCTCCCCGAGGAAGCTGTGCGCCATCGCGGGTCAAGAAAGCGCCAAGCTTGATTTCATCCATCATGTCGTCTCCAATGGAGCCATCTATATCGGCCACAACGGGCTCTCTTACGAGGATGCTATCGATTCCCATGCCGACGGTGGCTGCTATGCCTTTCTCTTCAACCGAAATGCGATGAAAAGCCAAGATGTCTGGAATGACAATTGTGCCTTACTGATGGGGCTACTGACACGCGCCCGCCAAACAGCTACTGTCTACGTTGTAGACTGTGATGCGACGTTCAAGTCCTTGGATTCGGATGCTCCTCGCATTTGCCGCTTCCAGGATGGCGAGGAAAGCATCTCCGATCTACTCGATCATCAGAAATTCATGGCCGGGAAATCCCTCGCTCAGTACCACACGAATGCGTTGGATACCAGTCTAAACAACATGCCTGTCAAACGCCGGTTCGTGAAGATAGCATGTCCGTGTGGCAAATGTGATCCCACTAGAATTTGCGAGTGGTCTTGTTCTTTCTGTCTCGCTCCGATTGAATATGGCTTCACGGACGAATTTATATATTGTGAATGCGGACGCGCACCGTATGAAAGCTATCAATTCAAATGCAATGGCGATCGTCATGGAGCTGACTACGTTCCCTATTCTCCCAAGACTCTCGGTGGGCTACTGGGTAACTTGGACCAGTCAGACTACATCAACATCCTGATTCTGGGCGAGACTGGGGTAGGGAAATCAACCTTCATCAACGCCTTCATCAATTACTTGTCCTACGAAACTCTCGATCTCGCCAAGGCGTCTGAACAGTTGGAGTCGGTGATTCCATGCTCCTTCTCTATTTAAGTCATGAATAGAACCAATCCAAATCAACCAATTGAGGAGAAAATTATCAAAGTTGGTGGCCGTGATGATGAAGCAGATGGATCCAGGGGTGCATCCGCAACTCAACAGACGAACGTGTATTCAGTCAATATTGGTTCAGCCACATATAGGTTGATCGACACTCCGGGAATTGGCGATACAAGGGGAATCCAATTTGACAAGCAGAACATGGCAGATATCCTTCGCACGCTTAGCAGCTACGAGAATCTACACGGAATATTGATTCTTCTCAAGTCAAACAACGCCCGTCTGACAATCACATTCCGCTTTTGCGTCAAAGAATTACTGGCACACCTCCATCGAAGTGCTGTTGAGAACATTGTTTTCGGATTCACCAACACGCGAATATCGAATTATACTCCTGGAGATACATTCCAGCCCCTCATGTCCCTTTTGGAACAACACTCTGACATGGGATTGACATTGTCGAATTCAACAATATACTGCTTTGACTCGGAAAGCTTCCGATATTTGGCAGCTTATAAAAAGGGATGCCTTCTCCCCAACGAGGAGGATTTCCGTCGCAGCTGGGAGCACTCGAGAATGGAATCAGTGCGGCTTGTCGACTACTTCAAAACCAGAAAGCCTCATAGTGTCGTGAGCACTCTTAGCCTGAATGGCGCTCGTCAACTGATCATGGAGCTGACAAAGCCCATGGCTGAAATCTCTAAGTTGATTAGAGAGAACATCACCGCGCTGGAAGACAAGCAACAGCAGCTGCTGGACACGAGGCTGACTGGCGATAATCTCCGTAAAAGACTTCAGCTTGACAAAATTCAGTTCGAAAGTCACAAACTTGACAAACCTCGAACAGTTTGCAAAAATGCGACATGTTGTGACTTTAAGGACAGCGGCAAGGGAGACGGCGAGACGGTCACCATCTTCAAGTCCCACTGTCACCGGGCGTGCACTCTCAATAAAGTGAAGCAGGATGTGGTTGCGCACCCGAATCTGATCCGCTGCGTCGCTTTCCGTGGCAGTGATCATTGTCAGAGGTGCAAACATCATTGGCAGGAACATATGCATGTCCTATATGAGCTTGAACAAGTCACTGTTCAGGTGACTGACACGGAGATCCAGAGACAATTGCAAGACAATGCTGGAGATGTGACGCTGCGCCAAACTGGCATCGCGGAGGCATCAAATCTTATTGGAGAATACAAATCAGAGCACACGCAAATCCAAGAAGCTGCAGCTCGATTTGGGCTATGCCTCAAGGCGTGGGCTTTGACACCAATCAACGATGCAACCGAGGATTATATCAACATGCTCATTCAAGACGAACAGTCTAAGATCGAAGCTGGTAGACAGCTAGGACACAATGTGGACGTCAACAAAAAACGTCTCGAGGGCCTAAAAGAAGACAAACAGGCACACTTGGAGCTCGTCAATACACTGACCAAACATATGCTTGCTCCACGGAACGAGAAAGAGCAACTACTCGATGAAAAGGGCGTCGAGCAGCTCGTTGCCGGGCTCTATGGCCTCCCGCACTTCGGCCAGAATCTTGAAGCGGTGAAAAACACAATCACGTCCGCCCATGAATCCACATACAGAGAAAGGCCTTATCGTATTGGCGGAAGATCGGGAGTGGGATTTGGAGCTTGGCGTTCCAAGTCTCAACAAGCGTTGGCTCGTACTATCAAGACAGGACAGAAAAGGTCTCCGCCTGAGGTGAAGACCGAAGACGGCCACCGGAAACGGCGGTTCTGGCCCTTTTAGTAGTATGTTTTCAGGACTTTCTCTGAAATGAGCAGCCTCACAGGAGGGTTGGGCTTCCTTGGAAGAGTTTGTGATGCCGGTATGGCTACGACAATTGGGGAATGTGAATTTGAAATGATACTGAGCCTTCGCATTTAAGATTCTGGGGCTTCAATTAGCTTAACTTAAATTCTGCATCTTCATACCTTAACAAACGATATCAGAACTATTACGATAGGGAGGAGGTAGATAGCATGAAGCAGTTTAGTAACCACAAGAACTCTGAGATCCGTTCATAAACCTATTGCATATCCCTTGGAGATCATCTTGAGCGAACCTTGCTCTTTCATGAGAACGACAAGTCACCTTACTATTCCTTTTAGCAACAATTGACACACCAAAAGAACCACATGTTCTCCAGTTTCCCTCACGCAACTTTCCGAGAATTTCCAAACCGCAAAGCATTTAGTTTAGAAGCTTCACCGCGTTCTATTCTACTGGGTGACCAAACATGTCTTTCGCTTGCCCAACGGAAGCGATCTAGACCCTCTTCTTGGCGCTGGCCACTTTGGATGGCTTGAGACCAACATCAAGAATGAAAGCAAGCCGGTTCACCACGGCGAGAATCGTCAATACCCAGTTCAACCAGTCCTCTGGCCTCATGCCAGCCACAGACAGGCCCTCCGGGGTACGAGCCTTCAGCTCCACCAAGCTGCAGACGATCAGGATATCCACCACCATGACGCCGAAATTGGAGATCTTCCACACGCCCAGATCATCGGTGTAGCGCAAAAGGCCGCCCTGCAAGGTGGCGATGAGCAAGTACAGGCCGGCGAGCTGCCACATGAGCGGGTCGAGAACGGGGTCTTGCTGATCGCGTGGAGCGACTGGCCCGGCCTGGGCGAGGATGAGGTCGCGATTGAAGAAGACCATGAATGTCGTCAGGACGGATGTGATGGGATCTATCCAGCGGAAATAAATGTCATAGTAGAGAGGAACTGTTGTTTTGGTGGCCATTTTGACGATTGATGATGAGTGATGGTACAGTCACAGATATTTTCAGAGTAAACGTGAGGAGTGTGAAGTAAATGGAAAACAAAAGAGGACGAGAATAAGCAGATGCGGGGAAGAGGGTGAGACCAGCTGTTATTTATTATTTCTATCACACTTGGCATGTTTGCTTATTAGTAAGATCCTGTTGCATTCAGCCACTGCACCAACAAATGAGAATGCATTCAATGTAGCAGTACTTAATCAGGATGGTATATACCGAGGATCCAACAGATCCTATTTCCTGATAAAGTCAAGACTCGCAACCAAAGTACTAAAATCAGTTAGAGGTTTTGGTGTCGTACCTCAACCACAATTTAACTTTTAATTCTTGAGAGCATGGACTCTTTACACCTTCTCAGGCTTCGCTGCCTCTAGGTATGGGCCATGGCCAATGTGGGAGAGTGTTGCGTTGGTGAGACAATGTCCTGCATGTAGTTGGTAGCTCTAGCTGACAGGCTGCAGCCATCCCTTTTCGACCAACTGGCAATTATCCCTGCATGCACTGTTGCCAAGATGAGCTGAGCATTGATCCCTCCGGCGGCCGCTGAGGTTGCAATCTACATAGTATTATTGATGGGGCCAGCGGGAGGAACAATGTGACCCAATGTCTCGTAATGTTGTTGCTATATGGGCCCTTTTGGTAACATAACCTGATTTGTCAACTACCTGCACCTTGACCCTATTCATTCATCTGGGAATTTCACTCTTGCTTATCAGCTTGTAGATGATTGGTCTTTTCTTGCATGCTGGCATGAGGCACAGTAGCATTATGATGAGCAACCAACGCTGCCATTGTGACGAGATGGTACCAACAGAGACGGCCTGCATTGATGCACGAGGAAATTGCGTAGCATCTACTAGGCACTTTTGGCCAACAGCACTCCATTCGCGTAAATGCAATGGTTCGTCTCCGTTTCCCATCATTTACCACCATCTCCACCATCAACCGAGATGTATCTGATTCACAGAGAGTGGCGAGGTCCAAGCCGCCTCCCGTCCAGGGCTATTCCTCCCCTTCCCCATCCCCCATGGCCCATCCTATCTCAGCCTTATCCGCCTGTGCCCTGTCCGTACTGATGGGGTACCTTGTCCATCTGGAGCACTCCACGTATAAACCACGGGACTTTTCATCTCACATCCCCCTTCTTTCCATACGCGACCACAAGTTGAATGGCCTATTCATGCACCACATAGCGTGGTCTCATGGGGTAGAAATTATGAATTTTCAAACAATGGTAAACACAATATTGTCTTCAAATTACGACAGAACTAGTAAAATAGACATCAAAGAATCAAACTATGATTTGTAACTACCTAGCTAGACCCTCTATTTCAATGGGGGGGGGGCAATCCATATAAGAAGGATCAACTGTTTTCATAAGAATTCAAAAAGTCGTTTCCCATCCTTCTCTTCATACCATGGATGACTCATTCCATAAACTTTAGATGAGGATAGAAACAGCAGTAAGTTCCGGCTCCAAAACCTTGTACTCTACAGTCCCCTCGGTCTGGTTGGCCGACACCCACTGGAACGCCAGCTCACAATCTTTCAGACGGCTATAAAACAGTGCAGCGGCCTCTTTGATGGTCTTGCTGTCAAAGTTGCCCTTAAAGGCTGGGCGGGCCTTGTGCACATTGTACAGAGACTTGGCGTACGTGATGAGGTTGTATTGGCCCTCGACTTTGTAACTGAGCAGTTCGGGGAGCTGAGCGGCCAGAAGCCAGTCTTTCCACTGGGGACCATTGGTGCCGATGGGCAGAGCGGCAGTGAGTTCCGCCTCAGTGTAGGTCTTGAGAGTGGCCAGATCCTTGGGCAGGCGTGTGCAGAGAGCGGGAGGTTTGGAGGGGACAAAGCTGTAGTAGTAATCCTGCAGATAGTTGACAGCCGTGTGCTGAGGGGAAGCAATGTGAATGCACATGGTGACAGCGTCAATGAGCTGCTCAAGAGTGGTGATGGTGGGGAAGCTGGTGATCTGGCCCTTGGTCTGAATCTCCGTGCACCAAGCGGCGATGCCGGCATCGGCCTGGACTTTCGCATCAGACGTGTACTGCGTCTCAAGAACGCTCTTGACAAAGTCCCGAAGCACCTCCCAAAGGTACAGCATATCCGTGGCGTAAGGGTAGTTGCGGTACTTGTTGGTCATCTCCTCCTTGAGGTTGAAGCCACGCTTCTTGAGGTCATTGGGAATGTACTTGTCCTGGAAGTTGAAGTTCTTGTATGACCAGTTCACCATCTTGTAGACATTGTTCGTTGCGCCAGGGGCGGGGTTGGGACCGAAGCCTGCCAAGCGAGCAATGACACCAGGGACCAGAGCCATGCGAGCAGCCTGGTTCAGAGCCAAAGTGCGGTACCAGTGAGGGCTGAGAATCTCATAGATGATGTGGCCATCCTTGAATGTTCGGTTCGTGGCCACAATGATGGCTTCTTCGATCAAATGAGTATCGACAAGATGGGTTGCAATCTCGTGACGAGCCCAGTCTGCCGTCTGCGCGCACGTCTTGGCATATCGCCAGGGCCAATCCTGCTTCTCGTCAATCTCACCCTTATCATCGGGGTTGAGGCGCTGGTTGAAAATGGTGATGGACTTGTCCAAAGACCCCCTGTAGTCTAGAGTGATGGCAAGAGGATGAAGGCGGCCGTCCTCGTGCAGCTGGAAGACGACAATGGGAGCACAGGCATAACGGCTGACTGGCTTGCCACCTGCCACAGGGATGACATTTACGAACTCGGTGTCATCGCTGGCACCAACCGCCTCGCGGAAGTAGGAGTAGTCCTGGATCAGGATGTCCTTGCCCGTTGTCAGAATGGCACCGATGCCCTCGGCACCCTGCTTGCCAGCCTCGGCGCTAAACTCGTTGAGCCTGTCAGAAGAAATGACCTCAATAGTGGACGGGTTTACGCCGCTCAGGTGCTGCTGGGCGAAACGAGCATCTGAGTACCAATCGGGGAGGTTACCAATGTTTTCGCCGTTCATAATATCGGTAGGAGGTCCCTTGTGGGCATGGTTATAGATCTCGGTGTCGGCAATGGTGGGACCGGCGTAGGGCACTCCGTTCCGCTCCTCGACCTGGCTGGGAATAATAAGGGAGAAGGCTCCGGCAATGTCAGTGACATTATCCCGCTCCTCCTTGTTGAAGATGGGGCCAACTTTCTGGTCCGTCTGGTCGTCCGGAAGAACAGCCAGATGGGGAGGATAGTTGTCGGTACCGTCACTCCAGTTGTAGGTGTCCTGTTTTTGTTCGATACTTCGCTGGATGGGGATGATGGACTCAAAGTTTTTGGAGTCAAATTGGGAAACAGCACTTCATAGAACAGCTTCGTGTTAGCGAACCGTTCGTCTTTGACTCAAGAGG